ACTACCACCCTGTAACAACCATTATGCCTAAAGACCATTTGCAACTACTGATAGGTATTTAGCTACTGTTGTCATTATACTATTAAGGGATAAAGGCAGCACCTGTCACTTTAGATTTTTTCAAATAATAATAATGCCAATTATTACAACCCCCTATACATTTAAAAGAATAAAATATAATAATTATATCAACAATCATAGAAGGAATTTTGAACTTGTCACCATATTGGTCTTTAATATTGATATTCTTGTTATTATAGTATGGATAATTTTAATTTCACAGCTGAACAAATTTCTGTAGATATTTATATTTTACTACCACTCCAATATTTACTACGGCCTTCTCCAAACAACTAAAATCAAAAAGCAAAATCCAATTAAACTGAAACTTTCCCAATTTCAGCAGATATTTTCATCGAGTAAAATATGTTTTTTCTTTTTGTTACAGTTACCCTCGATAACGATGCCACGTCTCCGATAGAGTTTATACTAAGTTCGTCAATTGATGGAATACCCTCAGGGGTGTTCTCGACTTACCAAGACTGCGGCCCAAATATTTTTAGAAGTAAACTGTCTTCGCAAAGCCACAACGTAAATTGGACGTTTCATGTAAATAAAGAATATAAGAAGTCGAATGTGACGTTTCAGTAAGTATTTACTTTTTTTGTTTCTTAGAACTGTAGGGAAAAGAATTATGGTGGATCAGCTTCGGTTAACTTTTCGGCGACAAATGTTTTAAGTATTTTAAAATAAACTTATTTGCATTTCATACTGTTCTTTCTTGAAAAATATTTACCAAAGAATAAAGAGCATTGTATTCTTTTAGATAATTTTTGGTGTCACCTAGAGCTTACAAAAATGAACTTTATTGAATTCTAAAACTAGTAAAAACATGGAAAGAAATAATTATAGCCAAAGATGCCTTAATTTCATATGACAAATTTATCAGTCATATAGAGTAGGCGAAACCACTTTTCTGTCTTACCTAGAGTTATAGGCTTCTTCAAGTTATTCTGTACGACCTAAATGCTAAATACATACATTTTCTACACACATCTTACTGGAAACAGTTTTTATATACAGGTTGTTTTAGAATTAAGTACCGTAAACTTGTAGATATTTTCTAATTATTTAGAGAAGCTAAATATAATTTTCCTGTCAACACCCCAGTTTTCATTCTACAAGGAGATAAAGTGAATTTCATAAATGCATAATTTTCTAAATATATTCCCTAAAAGTTGTCCTACATGCTACGATTTTTGAGAGATTTGAACCATACAGTCCATCGATGCAGTCTATAAACCAACGTGTGGTCGATCTGACTCAATCTGACATCTCCTCTTTTGTCTAATATTAAGACGAAGAGTGAAATGAGATGATTAAATCTTGCCCTGTTCGTTTTGGCCTGCAAGCCATATCTAAGTGTGTAGGGCCTTCATTTGGGTAAAGATTTGAACTTAAAACAATGTACTTGTTAGCTAATCGCCATTATGTTCTTACTTTTATGACATTGGAAAAGGCAATTAATATTTAGCAAAACAAGAAGTGGTGGATGATGAATTAATTGTTCAACAAGTAGATCGATCATAAGCTTTGTTAACTGTTTGCCGCCAATTTGACAAAACTAATTCTAACAATCTATTATTATATTTCTGATTTCGTTAAACTGATCAAATCCAAAGAAGTTACACAGGTAATATGACTAGAATTATTAGTATCCGTTATTTCTACATACTCTCTTATATTGAAATCGCAAATTTAAATAATATTTTTACAATAAAGGTAATCTAACATACTTAAAGTATCAAATAGTTCATTATAAACAGCAAAGAATGTGTTAAAGGGAATGTAAATTATGATTAAATAAAATGAAATATACTGAACATTAAATTTAACACCGATTATGTCACTTGAGGGAAGATTTTTGATTGCAGACATATTTTTTAAATTTAAACCACTAGAAAAAAAAATGTAAGTATACCGTGAGGGCAACACCACCGTGTCTCGAAATCCCAGTAGCAATGAAACCACATTTATAAACAGTAAATTTGCAAGAACACGAAACTCTGTTGAATTTACGCTAATGGTTAACCAGGTTTCAGTGCAAGCAATTATAGAGTAACTACATGCAAAGCTTGTGTTTAATAACAGATTCTGTTTTAGTATTAATCCCTCCTATATTTTAATAATAAATATCAATGTCATCACGCTTTGACGTGGTGTGTATACCTCAATTTGAACAAACAGACGTATCTATTATTTTCTATTTATCGGGTGGACCAAAAATATCAAATATAATTTTTTTATATTCATTTTATCACCCTGTGGAATAAAAACGGTGACGTTTTCCGAAAAAGTTTATTTAACTTTTCTCAATAATTAGTTATGATCTAAATGTACCTTAGTGTACGGTACTTTATTTTGAAACACATTGTATATTCATTGCCAATGAAAATGGTAAAAAATTAAAATTTCTCCCTTTTGTTCAATTTTTTTCATTACGGTCAATTTTAGAGAAATCATTTATGAAACAAACATAGAAAATAATATCGAATTACTTAACGTAGACAACATTCTAATACATATTCTGTCTTTCAATTCACAGCGTATTGCCTTATCACACTCAATAAAATTGAAAATAATTTATAACGAATCTTCACTTGATGACGTCATACGCTCTTTAGTTGGACGAGTCCATTCTACAATGCATATCCATACACACACAGAAAAACCAACGAGTTGCCTTTTTCAACTTCCACTGTTGACATTGTTTTCCATACTCGTAACTTGGTATACATACATAAATGTGTAATGGTATTTTACAAGTGTATTTTTAATTAGATTTAATTAGGACTATGGGCCATGTGGCCTCCCCCACCTCGACCTTTTCAGATCTATTGTGGATATCCTTTAATCATTGTTTAGAGTACCTTGTCTAATGCGGTCTTTTGTAGTAAACTCCATAGACTGGAAAGTAGTTCTCCGGTATAGCTAGTTGCCCTTGGTTTTTCTTCTCCAAGTGTAAGGAATCTCAGTCTTACTAGACCTTCGCAGTAGCACAATACGTGTTCTGCCGTTTCCTCTTCTTCTTGACAGAATCGGCACAAGGCCTCTACAAGTGTATTAAATCAATGTACCGTTCATTAGTATTTGATTTTCCTGGACAAAAAATGTATCGTCAGATGCATAACTACACTCCACACCTATACCGATGTAAGCCAATAAATAAACAAGGGGCCAAAAACCCAAAAGTGGCGAAAAAGAGGTTGCTATTTAAATGATGAACACAAAGGAAAGATTATTTAAGACTCATTTTGGAGGACTTTTATCAAAAATGTACTTTTTTAAAGTTAATGTAACTGATGATGAAGTAGAAGAACGAAAAAAATTTAGAAAGAAGCAATTAAATAAATTAACTATTCAAAATAATCTAAAAAAACTATGCCGTCAAAGGGCGTTAAATTTAATATTGTAAAAAGTGAAATAACTTTTGATGATTATGTAGATTGTCTACATTATCAGTTTACAAAAAAGGCATTTAATATTAAGAAGTTACGATACTCTTATTTTAGGGGTAGGTGTCTGGTAGTGAAGGAGTTGAATATTTATAATACAACAAATATCTCAACAGTTCTCTGCCTTGATATGCAAATTACCAATTTCGCCAAATTTTCAATGTCATTAGTAAAAGAAATATTAAATACTGTTTAATTTTAAATTGTCACCCTGTATATTATGCATATTATAGCCTATTATAAGCCGTGCTTTGTGTAGTGAAAACATACCGGTGGAAACAAACTACAGTTACTCTCATTTTTAAATTCAGGAATTATAGCAAAATGAATAAATTTAGATAAATATCTGTTATAAATAATTTTGTAATAAAATTCATGGATATAGAAATAATGTTCTATCGAAAATACAATTTGGATTCATAAAAAAAATCTGGCATATCTTGATATACTTAGAATTTATTTAACATATAAAACCCAAAAATAAAAATATTGAATTAATTAAGTGCAGATTCAATTAAAAGTATGAGTACCCCAGGGTTGGGTCCAATTATATGTTTAATTTATATAAACAGCATTACCATCATAAAATCATTTTGTTGATGACACTGCCCTTGTTGGGATGAAGTTAAATGAAACACAGAAGCTTACTTAAAAGAACTAATAATATATTAAGATTACTGTTTTTAAACATTAAATAAACAACTACTTCAGTTGATCAATCTAAAATAAAAATTAAACTGTATACCTCTAAATGCAACGAGAGCAGATATAACTGTAAGCAGAACAACTCTGATCTACTCCAATTCTCAAACATTAATCAACTGTAACTGTTTAGTTAAATCGTTAAGATATTGAAGTTCGCCAATAAGCTCGACAAATCATCGGTCTATAACCAAATTTCGGTTACCTAACTAGAATTCTGACAACTATACAATAGATATCTACTTGATTTACGTTCCTGTTCTATTATACGTTATGTTATGTATGCGGTGTTAATACACTGCGACCTAAACGATTTATTGTACCCACTTTTGTCGTTAAGACAGCAAACGAATATTCTAGATATCTATAACGACCCAAAGAAACAATTAAATTAATTCAGATTCAAAATAATCTTAATAACTTTACCGTGACAAAAAAATCAAAGGGCGTTAAATTGAATGTTGTTAATAGTAAAATAACTTTTATTGATTATGTAGATTACCTTAAAGAAAATGAAACTGAATGTGATAGTCAGCGCATTAACCGTTTCTACGCATATAATAAATGTAGAATTTTTAATATCTTCAAATTGGGCATTTCGCCCCTTCTGTACGGTACGCTTAAATAATGTTTTGAAAAGGATACCATGATTTAAAAATAAAAACTACTCCAGAGGCAGTACATTTATTATCTAAACAAAGCTTGTCGAAAGCGACGTACGTTTTTTTATTAATTTTTTTAAATTTTATCTTTACAGATTAGATTTCGCAATCAGAGCAGACCCTTTTGTCTACAGACTGATTTTTGTGCTCCCCGTAAGGCAAGGTTAGTATATCCTTTTAATGTAATCTATTAATATTCTTTTTCTTTCTTCACCTACCTTGAGAGCCATTTGCAAGATTAAAGAGTCAGCATTACACCGAATAAAAATATTTTTTTATCGAACATTAAATAATGCTAAGAATTTTGTTTTAATGTTTTAATTTTTAATTTGATCCAGTAGCTGTCGAGCAAAATTTTCGAATTTCATAACTTTTCAAAGAAAATGGTTTTTCTTTTTCATTATTTGTCTGTTAGGAATAATTTTATAATATATGACAGTTTTCCAAGAATTTAATAAGCTACCTTCTATTTAATACTTGACTTTTACTGTTGCGATAACGCTGTTTAGAACACATCATGGTCATCTGAGATTTAAACGTTTAAATTACACAATAGTAAAAAAATTAGCCACAGTAGTCATTTATTAGTGATGATACACCTGCATTATCAGTAGCACTTCTTCTACAGTAAACGAATCCTTTCTTTTGTCATCTAGGTTATTCGCGAGCTGTACTGGAGCTGTTCAGCAGCAGTAGCAATTTATTAGTGATGAAACACATGCATTCTTAGTAGCATCTAAAATTTTAAAATACACTACTTCTACAGTAAACGAGTGCTTTCTTTTGTGTCATCTAGGTTATTCGCGAGCTGTACTATAGCTGTTCAGGAGCAGTAGCAATTTATTAATGACGAAACACCTGCATTCTTAGTAGCATCTAAAACTTTAAAATACACTACTTCTACAGTAAACGCGTGCTTTCTTTTGTGTCATCTAGGTTATTTACGAAATGTACTAGAGCTGTTCAGCAGCAGTAGCCATTTATTAGTGATGAAACACCTGCATTCTTAGTAGCATCTACTTCTTCTACAGTAAACGGGTGCTTTCTTTTATATCATCTAGATTTTTCGCGAGCCGTACTAAAGCTGTTCCTGATTCTAACCGAACAATTTATTAACAATACTTGTTGATATAAAACATGTCCCACATGTCCTACCTTCTCCCCTCAAGCACTTGCTCAATAGCTGGTGCATGAGCGTCCTTCTTCGTTTCATATACCAAGAACGTTAAAACTTTAAAAAAGCTCTAAATAGTCATGTAACAAGTCATTAAATTTTGTTATTTTATTATTTCGTTTGTTTCAGAATGTCAGTTAGAACTGATAAATGAAGAAGCTGTCATGACGAACCATGACCTCCCGCATACTGCCGATTGCCAAATATGGTTTCCGATTCAAAATAGCGGACATGGTCTAGTTATAGAACTCACGCGTCTCAACGTGCCTTGCTCTAGGGGTTTTGTTCATTTTTCTGGTTTGAACATGACCCAACATCCCTACATCGAGAATACATTAGGTGAGTATATCGTAAATATTTCACTCATCCATTCTGTTATTAAGTTAGAATTAAGAGTACAGAATTAGGATTGAGTCAGAGTCACTTAAACATAGTTTCTATTTAGTATTGGTACTGTTGGTGACGAAGAGTATCTAATATTCTCAAAAGAAATCTTACTTTCGCAAAATCAAACACTTGTTTACCATCATTTATCCAGATTCAGGATAGAAATGAGATTATGTTATACTATGTCCTAAACTTTCCATTCTAAATTCTCCTCTAACTTTAATTGCCGATTTTAGTTTAACTGTACCAAAGCTACTTACTAATTATACATTTTTCCACTTTTTCTTCTAGCTAATTTTTCTTTTAGCGTCATGATCATTTGTTAAATCTTGAAAACCTTCCTAATTGGTTTTCCGATTGACTGTAGTTGGTTTTGCTACTTTTTAAATAGCATTTTCACTTACAGTAAGGATTACTGCAGATTAGTCTGAATCCATATCAAAATTGTGTTTTACTTGTGTATATTTTAGTGAAATAGCTCAGTTATTCAGAAGATTAACATGTACATCCAAATTCTTCTGTAGCTAGATGTAATTTTTTTCCGTTGACTGTGGTTAATTTTGAACCTCAAATAAGAAAGGTATATAAGGGATGTGGTGATTGCAACAACACCACTACACCTAAATCAACATGCATACACCTCAGATAGATCTGATTCAGTCCTTCAGCTAGTTGCTAGTCGGATAGACTGGACAATAAAATGTCCACTTTGAGTGTTTTCATAGACATAGAAGATGCTTTTTCAAAGATAATACACTCACTAAACAACAAGAATGTTCCACAGATGGTTGGTGGGTGGATACACAACATAACAGTAAACATAAGTGTAGAAAATGTAAATATAAGAGGCTTGGTTGCGAGGGGATGTCCACAAGGGGTGCTATCATCTCTTCTGTGGAACATGGTCCTCGACACCTTCATCAACCGTCTTAATAATGACAGTCACTATATAATAGCGTATGTAGATGACCCTCAGAAAACAGAGTCAAAAGATCATACGTTGCTTATGAACAATGCCGCCGAACTGTAAGGCGTACCTGGGGTTTCTCCCCCAGAGGTGTTGCATGGACTTACACGGCCATCACAAGACTTATGCTAACATACGGTGTAGTTGTCCGCATCTGTAGGGAGTGCAAGCAAAAAAATGACCGAGAAGCACCTCTTGGCGACGTTGTCAACTACATTAAATTTCAAGGTTGGCCTACGAGCTAGGAGGTGTCTATCTACTTAGGAGGATGCAAAACGCGCCTAGTAAAGTTAACCCACCCTCCACACGTTACAGATACAGATAGTTCTTGGATGCTTGGTTCCTCATGTACCATCACTTGTACCTATGGTGGTAAAGGCTTTGAATAAATGACTTGTTTTGGGAAAGGCAGATGAGTTACATTCAAGAAATTGATACGTCTTGTTGACAGTAAATAAAAGTTTTTAGACATAACTAGATACTAGTTTTTATACGTCACTGAGGAAATTTTATTAACATTGGCATTCTTATTTTGTTTGCAGTTGCAAATGGTTGACAGCTGGTTTTTTTATTATTATTATTTTCAAAAGAGTTATTAGCGACATAAAAATAACACTTAAAATGTTTGGTTTTATGCATGTACTTATTTATTTGGTGATCTTATAGTTATTAAAAATGAATGTTTTTAAATTCATCATTATCACCAATAAAATGTCTTCGCCATAATAAATTTGACACGAAATAATATTTGTTTCAGTTCATTTAAAGAGCCACAAGCAGACCCAACTATGCGGCAAACTAGAGGAACTGCCTGAAGCCGATCGTTATATATATTTTCCAGCATCGACGATGGTATCCTCATCATCCTGGGATCAAACTAGACCCGCCATGCACGTGCATGGTAGCCCGGTCTTTTCCATCTACTATCACTTAGTGGATTATTGTTATAACGTTACCTTTCTAACCAGAAACGGTTCGTTTGAGTTGAAGCCACAAGTGGAGTTGCAATGTACTTTTAGAATACATCTACCGTATGGTAACAGAGTGGCTTTGAAGTTGTGGATTGGGGATAGTGAAGGCACAGGTGAGCTATTTGACCTTCCTTTCCTTCTTTTTGTTAAAATATCATTTATTTTATTAAAAATACAGTGTTGCTGAATATCTGTTAAGACAAAACTATTTAAATGCTTATATTTACTATTTTTTTACTATTTCAACTCATGAACCAACAATAACCTCTTTTTTTCTGACGACGATATTATTAAATTAAAAAACCATTCACTCTTTCAAAGCCTCTGTTATATTTGTACCTCAATTTATCAACGCGAACTTCCTCAGGCATTAATAACTACGGGTATGAACAATCCCTCGGGCTTCCAGCGTCACGTTTGATACGAAATATGGTACGTTACATTATCAAAGTTTATCGTGTGCTTTTCCAGAATCCCTCGAGACCAGTCTCGACTTTCAGGACTTTAAGAACGACCAGGAGCAGTGCGAAGGTCTACTGATTCAACTCCAAGACGGCGCGTCGTTTTGGGCGCACTGTACGAAACCGGGGGACGTCCAGAGGCAGATAGAGATCGTCTCCAAGGAAAACAAATTGGTGAGTGTTAAATGGCATACTTTGCAGGAAAATATCTATAATTTATGTACAAGGAAATCGTGTATATTGAACTAATATTTTAAAAAATGTTACAATTGCAATTATTATTAGAGCAGTGGCTTGGTAACGGTTTTCTTTGAAGCACCACAGGGAACTCTTTTTGGACCAATGCTTTTTACAGTATATATAAATATATTATTGTCATAAAAACGCAGGTAAATATTTACAGAGTGATTTGTCGGTGTAAAAAGTCCAGTGTTTCCGATACTATTAGAGATATAATAAAAAATATTTACTTATATGTGAACAAGTTTTTTCATATTTTTTCGAAGAGGATTAAATTTTTTTGTATCATATGACTATATTTTTGGTTTTAGACCATGTAGAACGTTTTATAAAGAATAGCTTTATTTCATAACAATAATAAACTGATCAACTGCATGTGGAAAACATAGAAAACCCAGCTATTAATAAATTATTCAATCTCTTCTCATAACTCGTTTATTTTCGCAGGAGTTCTAATACATTTTTCCAATTTCCGTACATCTGAAAGACAGGTAGGTATATCAGTTTTATTGTAGGTAATTTATGGGAACACATAGTCGTAAAGTTAGGAAAGTGCCGAGCCAGAAACTCCAGTAATTGGCTTCAAATATTCCCGTTTCCTTGCTTTACTTTTATTTGGAATAACACCTGTTGACGATCAAATTTGTTACTTTGATTTAGTGGTACAAATATCGGGGTTGATTGATAAATTTCTGGAATAACCGGTATCTGATTTAGACAAATTAAAAGTTGATTAATTTAATGATGCTACTGAATTTAAGATACCAGTGTTGGTTTAAAAAAAATTGTATAAAAAAGGATCAAAGTCTCTATCTGCCTTTACTATTAATGCGACCATAATATCACTGTGCACAAACGTTTTATATGGTCGTACTAATTCGTCTACTTGCGCAGAATGCATATCGCCTCGGTATTCGGTGATTCAAGGAACGCCTAAAAATAATTAAAATTTTATACCGCTGTATCTGGATTAGTTCTAATCGATCAATATCGTGTAGGATACCATTTTCTTCATATAATTGAGTAGATTCCGAATCACTATGAGTTTGTTAAAAGAAAAAACAAAATCATGAAGTAAAAATACTTTGGGACAACAAAAATTAGAAAGTATTTTTTTACTCAGAAATTTCTATGAATTTCTATGAATGTCTATGAATGTCTATGAATTTCTATGAATTCTATGAATTTCTATGAATTTCTATGAATTTCTATGAATTTCTATGAATTTCTATGAATTTCTATGAATTTCTATGAATTTCTATGAATTTCTATGAATTTCTATGAATTTCTATGAATTTCTATGAATTTCTATGAATTTCTATGAATTTCTATGAATTTCTATGAATTTCTATGAATTTCTATGAATTTCTATGAATTTCTATGAATTTCTATGAATTTCTATGAATTTCTATGAATTTCTATGAATTTCTATGAATTTCTATGAATTTCTATGAATTTCTATGAATTTCTATGAATTTCTATGAATTTCTATGAATTTCTATGAATTTCTATGAATTTCTATGAATTTCTATAAATTTCTATGAATTTCTATGAATTTCTATGAATTTCTATGAATTTCTATGAATTTCTATGAATTTCTATGAATTTCTATGAATTTCTATGAATTTCTATGAATTTCTATGAATTTCTATGAATTTCTATGAATTTCTATGAATTTCTATGAATTTCTATGAATTTCTATGAATTTCTATGAATTTCTATGAATTTCTATGAATTTCTATGAATTTCTATGAATTTCTATGAATTTCTATGAATTTCTATGAATTTCTATGAATTTCTATGAATTTCTATGAATTTCTATGAATTTCTATGAATTTCTATGAATTTCTATGAATTTCTATGAATTTCTATGAATTTCTATGAATTTCTATGAATTTCTATGAATTTCTATGAATTTCTATGAATTTCTATGAATTTCTATGAATTTCTATGAATTTCTATGAATTTCTATGAATTTCTATGAATTTCTATGAATTTCTATGAATTTCTATGAATTTCTATGAATTTCTATGAATTTCTATGAATTTCTATGAATTTCTATGAATTTCTATGAATTTCTATGAATTTCTATGAATTTCTATGAATTTCTATGAATTTCTATGAATTTCTATGAATTTCTATGAATTTCTATGAATTTCTATGAATTTCTATGAATTTCTATGAATTTCTATGAATTTCTATGAATTTCTATGAATTTCTATGAATTTCTATGAATTTCTATGAATTTCTATGAATTTCTATGAATTTCTATGAATTTCTATGAATTTCTATGAATTTCTATGAATTTCTATGAATTTCTATGAATTTCTATGAATTTCTATGAATTTCTATGAATTTCTATGAATTTCTATGAATTTCTATGAATTTCTATGAATTTCTATGAATTTCTATGAATTTCTATGAATTTCTATGAATTTCTATGAATTTCTATGAATTTCTATGAATTTCTATGAATTTCTATGAATTTCTATGAATTTCTATGAATTTCTATGAATTTCTATGAATTTCTATGAATTTCTATGAATTTCTATGAATTTCTATGAATTTCTATGAATTTCTATGAATTTCTATGAATTTCTATGAATTTCTATGAATTTCTATGAATTTCTATGAATTTCTATGAATTTCTATGAATTTCTATGAATTTCTATGAATTTCTATGAATTTCTATGAATTTCTATGAATTTCTATGAATTTCTATGAATTTCTATGAATTTCTATGAATTTCTATGAATTTCTATGAATTTCTATGAATTTCTATGAATTTCTATGAATTTCTATGAATTTCTATGAATTTCTATGAATTTCTATGAATTTCTATGAATTTCTATGAATTTCTATGAATTTCTATGAATTTCTATGAATTTCTATGAATTTCTATGAATTTCTATGAATTTCTATGAATTTCTATGAATTTCTATGAATTTCTATGAATTTCTATGAATTTCTATGAATTTCTATGAATTTCTATGAATTTCTATGAATTTCTATGAATTTCTATGAATTTCTATGAATTTCTATGAATTTCTATGAATTTCTATGAATTTCTATGAATTTCTATGAATTTCTATGAATTTCTATGAATTTCTATGAATTTCTATGAATTTCTATGAATTTCTATGAATTTCTATGAATTTCTATGAATTTCTATGAATTTCTATGAATTTCTATGAATTTCTATGAATTTCTATGAATTTCTATGAATTTCTATGAATGTCTATGAATTTCTATAAATTTCTACTCTTTTATCAAAATAACGGTATCGTTTAAGGCTGACAAAAACTGAACAAGGTTATGGTTTTCTTAAATTATGAGGTATCTTTATTGCAAATCAACATTGTATAAGAAAATGGCGAAAATTGAGGATCTAATTTTTTTTAGTTGTCAGCGAATTTCAGACATTATTAAGCTAAATATTTTCTAGTTTTCTGGCGTTGGGATAGTAACCCAGAGGTGATGGGTTCGAAACCTGCTTGAAGCAGAATTTTTTCAATTTCCTAAATTTTAGCTGGTTTTGGTTTTCACTCCTTGAATTCCCACAAGAAATATCTTTTATATATATTTTTCTACTTCTGTTCACTTGTGATTTCTTATCGCCTTTAATACAACAATTAATACCCAAAGTTGTAAAATATTAAAAATCACAAAAATACATTTGTTAAAAAAAATTTGGGTTGCCATTGTTGCTAAACAAAAAGCAATTAGCTAAAAAAACGAGTCTGTAAAATTATCTCGAAAATTTAATTATTCCGGAAACGCCTAATATATTATTAAAGAAGATTTAACGTGTATATTTAGTTTAAAATTCAAATATTTAATATGTTATTTAGGTATATATACATTAATCTAATCACATAAGAGTAAATTTACACTTTCAAAAAACTGGTTGGGCGTTTGCCAAATTCAGTTTAAATGAATCATTCATAATTTAAAAAAATAAATTCTCGGCTTCAACAATTCAATTATTCATCTTGTTGATTTAAAAAAGTCTTTTCAGAGTAATTTTTTTAATTTCTAGTTTTTTGGGTTGATCTTCGAATTAAAAATTCAAAATATTTCCCTAATATTTTAAATATATGAAATCTTTGGTCCGTTGCTTAATTTTGATTCAAAAGAGAGAACGAAGAAGAAGAGAAAGAAAAAGAAAAGAACTTTTCGAAGTAATTTCTCAAATTTTTCTCTTTCCAACCTCCTAAAAATTCTTTTTTAGTCATTCTGACACCAAAAAATAATTTTTTCTATGCCAAATTACTCTCTTGATTACCTAATATACTGATTTTCAAATTCTTTGGAGTTTTATTTGCCATTTTAAATTTTTAGATTTTTGTGCTCGATCTTTAACTCATTATTCTTATTCTTTCTTTCTAGGTCTTGAAAGTTAGAATAAGGACAGCATCCAAGGAAGACGCTCTGGGACTTCGGATGGTCTACCACGCCAATCCGATGGAGAGCATAGTAGGAATGTGCGATTTCGGATGGGTGATACTCCAACAATTTTGCGTGGGCGTCTTGGAGGGCGTGAAATTACCGTGGGCGCAAGCTGAGATGGAATGCCACCGCCAAGGAGGGCATTTGGTCAGCATCAGAAGCGACAGGGACCATCACATCATCGACAATCTACTTATTAACAGGTAACATTTAATTATTTAATTGAAATACACTGACCGGCACAAAAAGAAAATCACTGAAATATTTTCTTTAAAATCATAAAATGTATATTTATTTTTGCTTTGGCTTGGATTTGGTAAACGTGTATTATTGTTAAGATTATTTAACACTTATTTAAGCTTGGATCCGTAATAACAAAAGTCATTAACATTGTAATAAAATAAAAGAAAAATAAAGTGGCAATATTTAATTAAAACAAATATTCAGATAACCATATAAAATTAGTTATACATGTCAAAAAAATTAAATTAATAACTGGAATTACCCCCTCTGGCTCCTCCATACGTCTGTGCATCCCTTCCATCAAGTGTCTTATTTCATTTTGGTCCAACTGTTCCCATACGTCAATTAGCATAATTCTAAGTTCTTCCAAGGTGTTTGGAGCTGGTACACGCGATCTAAGTTGTCTGCCCATTATGTCCCAGACATGTTTAATGGGATTTAAGTCGGGCCGGGGTGCAGATATTTTTTTCTTAACCATCCTCCCGAGTCCTACCGCTTGCCGAGTCCTCACTTGCTGCGCTTGCGCGTACCTATCTTTGATTTTATTGCCAAAGTGACCATTGTCATATTTCTTATTATTGTCTCGGTCCCGTTGGAAATGTTAAAAATGTAGGAAGATATATTAATGTTTATTTAAGAAAAATATAAATAATTAAGAATAATTGGAAGTATAAATACAAAGTTAAATTATTATTCAAGTGAGATACCTAATTACAAATAGAGAATAAATTGGACATTGATAACTCACTGATGCATTGCTCGTGTGCAAGCTAATTTTTTTTAAAACTTGTAATTATAAATAGAATACGATATAGAATGATAAAGAAATTAATACTAAAAACAAAAAGTACCTATCTTCGTTTCTCAATTTTGTAAGCTAGGTATAGGTACAGATATAAGTAAAAATGTAGCTTTATAGGTACAGCGAAATTTGAAAAAAAAAAACATTAAAAAGTACCCATTCTATAGACATTTCTAAAAAAATGCTGATAATCGAATATTTTCTAAGAAAAGTTGCAAAATTTTGATGTTCCTAACCTAACATTTTATAATTTTTTTTTACAGTTTTGCCAAGCGTTTAAGTACCTAAATGGATAAAATATGTAAATATTGACAAGAATAAAATTTTCTTAAATCGTAGAATTATTTAAAAAAATATTACAAAAAATATGAAAGAAATTTTTTTATAAATGAATCAAAATATTTATTTATGAAATAATTTCATTTAGTTACAAAATAAAATATGTATACCCATTCTTTAATTGTAGAACAAAAATTGTCGATACACCTAAGGCAAAATGCCTATAAAATTGTAACTTTAACAAAAAAATTCTTATACGTATTTTTTTTTAGGAATATACAATATGTAATCGGTACTTTTTAGTGCAATCAAATTTTTTTTCTTTAATTTCGACGTAGGTACCTAAAGCGTACCGGAGCCAAAATATTGTTCTTGATTCATTCATTTACTAGCACTTTAAAAAATCTAATTTGTAGAAAGTAGAAAATTGTCAATTGAATTTTGGTAAATAGCAGCGAAAAATGGAATTTGTAAACCATACTAAAAAAAAGTAAAATACCTACGAAGATATCAAAGTAAATTTTACATATTCCCAAAAATTTTAAAATAAAATTGTTTAATTTTGTACGAAACAAAATCATCATAAAAGTTGCTTTCTAAGTATATAATTATTTCAAACGCGCAAACGCAATATGTAAGGGACTCGGCAAGCGGTAGGACTCGGGAGGATGGTTAAGAAAAAAATATCTGCGGCCGGGGTGGCCATTCCATTGTCTCAATACTATGAAGACTCAATACCGACGTCAATAAGATACTGACGTACTGCCCTGGCAACATGTGGTCGAGCATCATCAGTGTTTGATTCACGACACAATGGATTGTTGATTTAACTGTTTTTACTTCTACTTTAAACAATATTCATAATTTTCAGAGATCGTTGTGAAATCATAATCCGCAAATTGAATAAAAATCAAAATAAACCAGAAAATACAAGTAGGTATTAATGAAACTAAATTGGTCTGTTTTAACAACAAAACAAGTCTGGTGCATGTTCCGGCGAAAACTGGGAGGAGCGTTCCAGGAGGAAAAGGATATATGTATACCTATACACTGAAATTAGGATTTTGAAGTGTAAAACGGTATAGTGTTTCCAAACTCAATCCAATATAGGCGTTTGTACCGGGATTGCGTAATAATTCGCGTTATATGCCATGCGAATGCTACAAATTCTATACTGTTTTATATATTTATATTGTTTTATCTTTGATCAGTAGTAAACTTGTTTTTATTTTTCGGTGTTTCTGTTAAATTTTGATTTGTGTTATACGAGATGCTTTCTGGAGACCTTTTGAGATAGATGTAGATGCTAGAGTCATAATTTTACATGCCGGAAATGAAAATGGCTTTGTAGCAAACGCTTCGCTACTTTCAGCAAAATATGTCAATAAAGCTCTGCTGATTTATCATGAAGATATGAATACAGCAGTTTTTAGGAACTGGTTTGCTGAACAACTTTTACCGAATATTCCAACTAATTCAGTCATTGTAATGGAGAATACGCCATATCATTTTCGGCAAATTCACAAGAAGCCAAGTAGTGACCCTAAGAAATCAGATATATTAAACTATTCAAAAGATAATAACATTGATAGTCCTGCTTCCGTAAAAACAAAACCACAATTGTTACAAATTGTTAAAGTAAGAATATTCCAATACAGTATTATATTGATAATTTTGCAAAAGCTGATGATCATACTGTATTGAGGTTACCACCTTAATATTCTGTACTTAATCCAATTGAATTATTTTGGTCTTCAGTTAAACAAAAACTGAAACGTAATAATTTTGCACCTACCTTAACAAATGTGATTTGTCAAATATTAATGGCGTTTTTAAAGATCCGTCTGACTGACGTTTGGAAAATTTGCATTAGTCACGTCCTAAAAAGGAAAAACAATATCATATTTTACCTTCTATAGCTCCAGTAATTATATATATAAACCTCGATTCCTCGACAGATGGTTCAGATTTAGATTCGAATTAACTTTCTTATTTTTCATTATTGGTAATCCGAGAGTCATCAAATTAATTCATTTTTAACATTTTATTAGTTCGTATTCATTTATTTTTCCGCAAACGTCAAAAAAAGTAGACATTATTAACGTCAATTCATGATGTTGAAGTATGATTTCACAGACGCCACTTTTTTGTACGGCCGTGAGCGGACAAAAAAGTACTTTTTTGTTGAACTTTTTTGTTGAACTTTTAAACTTTATTAACGATAATAATTATTAATAGTAAAATTACAATTATTTAAGGTTGCACCGCACATATTTAATGCACTACCTGATTTATTCACTTCCAATTCAAGCGAATTTTGTGCAGAGTTGAAAGAGTTCATCGACGAAATTTCCCGTGACTCCTTACTTGTTGTTGCTTCTGTTACATCAACGTCGACATAATTTCGCTCATGAGAAGTTGCATTCAGGTACAGTGAAGAAGAATTCACATCAAGATTTTTTCTGCAGTTTGTTTTTTATTAGACAAAGAGTCTTCAATGTATCCTTCAGCGATAGTGCTCGACCTCCAACCTCCATGCCGTTTCAAACAAGTAATATCAGCTCCTCCATCCACAAGCAAAGTAGCTGAAGTTCTTCTTAACGCATGGCCGGTGTAATCTTTTGAATTGGGTAGTTTTAAATAAGTTGCTACTGTTTTGGGTACGTTACTAATTGTATGAATTCCCATGACCATGCGATAACATTTTCCCTTTTGAAATTTCAAAAAAAAGCATCGGCTTTCCATAGCTTGTGGACGTAAAGAAGTATATTTTCTGTAAAGATTTATATATTTTTCTCCAATAATTGTGAACGATCGTGGCTTTTTAGGTTTACTATCAGGAATCTTTATATGAATAACAGATCCTAAATCTTTTATATCGTCTATTGTCATGTTCACCATTTCATCGCATCTACATGCTCCAGATACGCCCATTATTAGAACAACCTAAAAGTAGTATGTATTTAAAAACTTGATTGTATTTATGCAGGTTAGAATATTATAACTAAGCTTAATTCCTAGATATTGCTCATTAGGTGCATTATTTAAAAAATCTTCAAACTGGTCTTTTGTGAATACCTTTGACTTTTTGGGAGTATACCCTTCATTCTGCTTCTTCAGATAAGCACGTAGTTTCATATATTTGCTAATATCTAATCCATGTTTAATATTCAGTAATGATTTTATCATGGAATACTAAGACCACATTGTTGAACTCTTCATTTTTAATTTAGTTGTCATTTCAAAAAAATAAGCTAGTAGCACATTTTCCGAATAGTTTGAAATGTTTTTATCATTGCACTATGTGAGAAATCTTTCGTAAGCATGATTATAAACTTTACTTGACTTAGTTGGAATTAAATCATTCGTAGCTGCCTTAGCAATGTCAACAACGTCGGGCGGTGTACAGTTGGGTTCTGAATCCGACATAATATAATCTAAAAGAAAATTTCAGTACACTTTACTACAACAAACGAAATTTTGATGCTCAAGTACTTACCAAAAATGCACAGTCCAATTGTTGCTTTAAAGCACTTACAATATTTTTGACATTATAAAATATTATTGAACTGTCAAATTTGTTTTTGACTTGGCAATCACAAAACCAGTAACCACGGAAATGTAGTGCGCAGTTTTATAATTATTATTCTCTGAATTTATCAACTTCGTTGCAATCGTTTTGAATTTTTATTTAAATATTAATTAGTTCTATAGTCTGGATGCCGTTTGCGGAAAAAATAGCATGTTCCATTCGGAGCAAAAGCACTTTTACTCCTAATAAAACAATATACTATTCTTTTAAAAAATTCATTTTTCTAAATTATTTTATAGTTTTGTTTTACTTGCAAAAAATTTATTTTCCTTCATGGTTTTTGCTTTGAAATTTCGTTTTCCGGAAAAAAACGAATGGGATACAAAAAGGGATCAGTTCACGTCTGGTACCCTGTTTGAACCAAACGCCCTTACAAGCAGGTACATTTTACTCGTTTATTTACGTTTAATAATTTAATATTCAGTTGTAGCAAATTAACGAGCTATAATAATGATTTTTTTAAGTTTTAAGTAGGATTACAATAATTAAGTGCTTCTATCTAAATAACGGGTATAACGCCGTCCAATTTATAATCATTCAATCGCCTTTTAACGAATACTTTCTCGTATTTATAAAAATATTAAATATTTAAAATGAGGTATCTACGCATGTGATAGATCAAACAAAATTGTCGGTAAGAGTTCGGAACGAGTTTAATGGAAGAACTATACATAATTATTAATTTAATTTACTTAATTTTAATAATAAAATTGGTACGCCCATGTGCGCGGTCCCTTTGAAGTCAGTACTAATCGGTTATTCTGCCGTGTTGGATTGTGTCTAGAAAGACTATATATAAGTGCAAATGTATTGTTATACCTATACATCCTTTTTCAATATTTCTTGCTCAAAAAAGCATGTTTTATGAAAAAGAATTAAAACTAATACTCGACAATAAATTTTTGTGTACTTTTTATTGAATTCAGATTCACACATTTTTAATAACAAATCGCGATTAGTTGCTTTCAATTTATCAGCCAACATTTTCAAACGTTTGTCATCACTTATAAACAATTCTTTCAAATTAGGCATCTTACATTTCTCCTTAAAATGCAATTTATTACAAAAGGCTATGTTTAAAATTTCAAGGTTAGAACAACGTGAAAATACAGATTCTAATGTAAACACGTTTTTGCAATTCCTTATTATCAAAGTTTTCAAATTTGAACAATACTGAGCTAAGGATTTCATTCCAAAAGTACTTAATTTATTGCAACCGGTAAAATCTATAACTTCTAATTTTGATGAATCATCAAAAAAATTCATGAATTGATTATCCTTAATTTGATGACCGAATCTTACTTTTAACACCTTCAGCTTCTCCAGGGACTTCCCCAACATTTGGAAAATATTTCCTTCTAGGTTATAAGCGAAATTCAAACAAAGATATTCCAAATCTTTACATCTTAAGATAGCACTGAAGGTTGCACTTCCTAGAGAAGAACAATCCAGCGTTAGACTTTGCAATCGATAATTGGTTTGACTGAAGAGACAGTTAATTTCAGGATCTGTTAAATATATCTTGTTGATTGGTTGGAATATCGACATATGGAAACCATTGAGATTATGGCAGTTCACAACTATCGAAGATATGTGCTTTAGAGTTATATATTTATTATCGCTAAAATTTACAGAACACAGTGATTTGGAGTATGCAAGCTCTTCGCAAAATATTAACGATTGAAATGGTGTACCTTTCATATCCAAAATCTTCAAATTTCTACAAGAAACCAGCAGGTATCTCAATGAATCTTCTGAAATCTCATGACAGTGTCTTATAGTGATGTGAACCAAATTTTTACAGCATCTACATATCTGCCTCAATACAGGCATTACTTCTTTGATATTATTCATTGTAATCCTTTCTGCTGAACTGAACTGCCATATTTTGTTATTAATCACGGATGTGTTTATTTTTAATCCTGAAAATTTCAACGTTTTCCATAAAACTGGATTTTCAGCGGCCGCTCTCCATTGTTGGCATACAGGGATGATAGTTTTTCGCAGTTCCTCTTCGTTAAAATGTCGAAAGATTTGTATTAGAACGTTTTGTGGTAGTTGAGCGTATCCTTTTCTGATGAAGTTAATTCTACTGCCTCTTAAGCTACTGGTGGCACTTGTATCGATAGGGGGTTGCAATTTCAGCACCATTTTTTTTAAATTTATCGTATTTTTTGGAATTTTTGATTGTTACTGAATTATATATGTCAAATGTCGTAGTGAAGTAGAAAGTAGAAAGTCTAGATACTGTTTGGCGTATGCTGTCAATACAAAAGAGTTCCTAACGTAGAAAAGCTGTAAATTATAATAAACCTTAATGACATTTTAAAATTTACACCAATCTGCCAGCAAATCCCAATGACATATATAGATTAATAGACTGCTCATCCATATATAAACAAGACGACGAAAAGCGGGTCATATTGCTTGGCTTGCCGAGTGCTCACCAGGCAGAATCGGTCTGGCCCAAATGAGTTTAAAACACATATTTCATCAAAGTAGGAATTGAATTAAAAAAAAAAAAATCTGTATGTTTATTTCAAGACAGGAGCTTGCGTTAGGTATTTTAAAAAAGGATTTTGAGTCGTAACGTCTAGTTTCCCAATTTTCAAAACATTTTAAGAGATCTAACCAATTTTGAACATAGATATAAACAATTTTATACTCATGTGTATATAACTAACTTTAGACCATGACTACTGTATAGTGGCACTATTCGAACACTTGATTATTCTTTTAAAATTTATTTCGCATTATAAAAGCAGATATTATGCAAAAATTGAATGAACTTTTTAAAGATTTAAAGTTAGTAGCTTTTTCACATTCTAAAGTTTGTCCCTTTAGACAATTAAGGATTATTTTGGCGGTGAATGTGAATGATTTGATGAATAATAATAAAATTCCACCAGTGGAAACCTGATCATCATCATAGTAAAATGGACTAGGTACAAAGTGCAATCTTAGTTGACGTCAAGATCCGTGTACCTTAGCATCGGTAAGAGGGAAATAAAGACTCTGACTTACAATCACAAAAAGAACGTACAACTAAGCTTAGTCGATGTAAGTTAGCTCAGATTAGTGGTAAAAAGAAAGCGACTATTAATAAAAAGAAAAGTAATCCAGCTAAAACAAGAATTATGGCTACTGTCTTTAATAATGATATGTTGCCAGTACTAGTAGAATGTTAAGTGTTGAGTTATCTTCTTCAGGCAATGGATGTACGTATGCATAATTTAAAATGTTTGGTTAATTATTATTATTATTATTATGTTTAATGTGTTTTTGCAGTTAATGAACATATATCTACTACTGAAGCAGATAATGAAGATTTGTGTGCTGCTGAATAGCTTTTCTTAAATTACAAAACTTTGTTTAAAAGCAGAAAATTGGGATCGATTGTTCAACACAAGTGAAGAGTGGTGATTTAGTTGATCCGTTTTCAAACAGAATTGTTAGTGCTAAAGAACTATCTACTTTAATAGGATTGCAATCCTTCCAGTTATTAGCCACCATTGTGGAATTAGTAGCAGAGTTGTTTCTAAAGAATAGGAAAAAGGAGATCAGTTATGTCTGTAATGTCTTATTCATTTTATTTGGAGTGAATGAAACTTTTTATCGTTAAATTTTTTAACAGTTTTTAATAAAACTGGTAGAAGTTCTTAGTATGGTATAATTCGGCCTTCAAAACAAGAAATATTAAATAATATGCCTCTATGTAAGTAAGAGTACTACTACTTGATTGTACCGAAATCCCAATACAGCAAGCCAAATGTCTTTGTTGTAGGCTAAAAAATTACTCTGACTACAAAAAGAGGCATACTATTAAAATATTGACTGGAGTGTCACCTACTGGTCTCATTACTTACAAAAGTGAAGCATATGGTGGTAAACTTCAGAAATAGACATTTTTTAACAAAGTTCAATACTTGAAGTGTGTGAATCATTTCTCGATAGTAAAATGTTTAACAAAGGTTTTCTTATTGGAAACATAACAGAAGCTGAAGGTATACAAATTATACAGCCTCCTTTCCTCAATAAAAAAAAAATCAGTTCAGCCATCAAGAGGCTTTACTTAATGCCAAAATTGCCAGAACTAGAATTCACATAGAAAGAACCTATCAAAGAATAAAAGTGTTTGTCTCTCTGTATTGGTACTTATGTCCGTTTTTCTTCTATTTATATTGAGTTTTTATTATACGATACTTCTCTGTATCTAACTAACTTTTAAAATGTACTTGTAAAGCCCAGATAGCTCTAACTCGGGCCTTTGAATATAATAATATTTATGTAATTGTATTTACAATAATTACTTTATTATTATTAATTATTATAATTAATTATAATTCGTAAAATTATTATAAACGTATTTACCTTGTACCTACTTGTATTGATACTTGCGTGAAAAATGAAATGTTACTTTTTATATTTCTGTAGCTGGTCTTACAACCCTTTATAAAGCAATTCACCATTTAAATTTAAAAACAAAACAAGTTTTTATACTCAAATAATTAAAAAACTTCAAACAGAACATAAGTATAATTAAAACTAAATAAAATAAACAATTCAACAAAATGTCCGACTGAGTAATGACAATGAGAACAAAATCTCAACTAGACTAAACTTTCTTTAAAACCGGTCCTGTGAAAGGTTTGGTTACCAGTGAGCACTCAAAATTGAGACAAAACACAAACATTGCTTGCACTAGACAAAGAGAAAACATCTTCCAATTCGACCCACTTTTCATCGTTTGATTTACGTATGGATAAGCAGTCTATTTAAACTATATATGTCATTGGCAAATCCGAAAAAATTTATCGACAAGTTTCTGTTATCAGTGTTATCACTGCACAATGTCGACCTGTGCTAATTGCTTTAAGACGATTTCAGATAGCGAATCTACGAAACCCCAGTGCGATGGGTGTAAATTTTTCATGCATTTGAACTGTACTGATTTAAAAGCCGATGATCGTGTCACTCGCCAAAAACTTCGATACATTAAAATAGTTTGTAACCGTTGCTCCTTAATCGTAGATCAGTTTAGCGAAGTTAAGGGTATCCTAGAGACATTTAAAATAAATATCGATAAAAAGGTTAATTTTTTTGATGAAAAACTTAAAAGTATACAAAATAATATCGAGTCATTCAATAATCAGCTATTAGAATTTACCGAAATTCTAAATCTCTTCGTTTTCCTGAATTTATCTTTATTTAGATCGGAATCAGATGCACTTTCGTCGAAATTTTGACTAGATTGAGGTTCAATAAGATCTTTTGTATCAGGAGGATTTTGGTGAGGTATTTCAAGACATTTTTAATTTTCTACTGGTATTATTTTGTTGATGTTGATTTGAGAATCCAAGAGAGAATTATCTCTAATTTGAGAATGAAAAAGAGATATATCTCCACGGGGTGCTAAATGCTTTAATGATACTGTGGCTTCTCTTCTATCAATGTGACGAACACGCGCATATTCAGGGTTGGCTTCAATTAGTTCAACTTCCTCAACGGACGGGTCATATTTCGAACATTTAACATGCTTCTTCATAAAAACTTTAACTGAAATTGTTAGCCAAGATGGTATATTTGACGATTTCCTTGAATGATGTTTACCAATCAAAAAGTGACACCAATTTCTAAGCGCTTCAACAATAGAATAAGCTTCTTTTTCTACTCATGAATGGTTTTGTTCACTTTTTGTCAGTGTCCTGGAGAAAAATGCAACGGCCCTTCCAGCTTGGCTCAAAGATGCAGCAATAGAATGTTCTGAGGCATCTGTCTCAACAACAAAAGGAATATCATCTTCAATAGTAGTGACAGCGGACTTTGCAATATCTTCTTTTAGTCTTTCAAATTCACAAGCTACTGGTTCCAGCAAAGGAAATATTTTACAAGAGACGAGTTTATGGATTTTATCTGAAAACTGAGATATCCTCTTCGAGTAATGAGAAAACATGCCAACAGCTCTTTTTAAAGATTGAGAGTTAGAGGGCAGAGGACGTTTTAATAATGGTTCCAGTCTAGTGGGGTCAGATTTTAAGGTTTTGTTTTTAATAAGATATCCAAGAAGTTTGATTGATTTTATGGAGTAGAAACTTTTGTTCTGGTTTATTGTTAAGTTATATTTTTTTTGTTACAATTAAAAAGTTCTTCAGATTTTCATCGTGTTCAATTTGGTCATTCCCGCAAACTGTAATATCGTCTAAATATGTAAATACTCCTTTTAGATTTTCAGATTTGATGATATTATCTATAACGCGCTGAAAACAGGCGACTCCATTCGTTACACCAAACGGAATTCTTATAATAAATTGATACAATATACCATTTGTTTAAAAAGCAATAAAAATCTTCTCATTTTCTCGGATTAATATGTAGTAATATGCACTTTGTAGATCAATTGTACTAAATACTTGAAATTGTGCAACAGTACGGACTATATCTTCTATATTGGGTAGAGGATATGCATCTAGATAGGTAAATCTGTTGATTGGGAGTAATCTACCACCATTCATTTCTTGCGAGTTTCAATTTTTCTTATTAAAACTTGTGTACGCCAGGACGAATTACTTTCTTCTATTATGCCATTCGAAAGAAGTTTTTCAATTACAGTGGTAATACATTTCAAATCTTCGGCCGAAAATCGTCTAGACTTAGTAGCTGTAGGTCTGCAGTTTACTGACAAATTTGAAAATAATGGTGGTTCTATATTTGGAAAAGCTAAACTACAAATGGTTGGAGACGAACCGATTATGAAATGGGATTTCACACCTCCAAAAATTACTTCTATTGCAGAATGCTGTCTAAGTATATCGTGACCAATTATAAAGTCGGCGCATAAATCTTAAAGTACTAATAATCTTAAATTTTTATATTTATGGTTTTTGACTTCTAAATCTACAAAGCAGTGACCAGTTATTGGTGACTGTAATGTAGTGGATGCCATCATTATATATCCACTACTAGGAAACAGGTATATTACCAGAAGAAAGAAAATGTTTGTTTATATACGTCTCTGAACTGCCTGTATCTATTAAGGCGTCGGTAGTAACGTTATTTATTTTAATTTCAACAATGCATTTAGCTAAACTTTCATGAACAGCTGCGAGAACTTTCGAAAAGGGCAAGATTGAGGCTGGAGATTTAAATTTTCTCTTAGTTTGACATACCTTTGAAAAGTGTCCCCTTTTTTCACATTCGTTACAAATTGAATCTTTGGCAGGGCAAAAGGTACGTGAGTGTCGCTTTGTGTTCCTACAAAAATAACATTTATATGTTTTGGTTACAGCAGAAGAAACTTGTTCTTCAATTTCTTCTTGTCTTTCTACATTTTCCGATATCAATGAATTGACCAAATTTGAGGAAGAATGGGAGGCATATTCCCATTCTTCTGTGCAGATTCAAGTGACTGAGGTTGCTTAATGGCATCTTGAAGGGTTATAGTATTATTTTCTAGTAGACGCTGGCGAATTTGGGATGATCTTGATCCCGTAATAAAAGAATCCCTTATGTAGTCGTGTCGATACATATCGGATGAAACACTCTTAAAGTTACAGTCCTTACTTAATTGTTTTAATACTTGTAAATAATAATCAACCATCTCCTCTGGTTGTTGTTTCCGAGACATAAGACAATGCCTAGCGAAAATTTCATTTTTGGGCTTGATAAAAATTAGATCTGAAGTATTTAAAGCTTCTGAATATGTACAGCAGTCTGATATAAATTTATCGGTATTGTAGCTTATATAATTTACCATCAGTTCAAGTTTTCCCACATCATCAAATTTTTTAACAGACGAAATAAAATTGTGAAAAAATGTTTTCCAATGAGTCCATTCTTGAGCAGCTTTGGGGGAGTTTTGGTCTGTATCGAATCTCTCTGGTCTCAGAAGTTTATCCATTTTGCTTATTAAATTGTTATAATTAAAACTACCTTTTGAAAATAGGCTTTAATAAGCAATATTGAGCATGACAAACTGGACAGTGATTAACATTAATTTAGATACAATAAACAAGTATACATAGGGAAGTACGTTAAGAAAATACACCACAATTGGTTTTAATATGAAGCAATAAATGGGAAAAAGAACATAATACAATTTTATTTTTCTTATTTTGTACCACTTTCCTTATAAAAACAGTAATTAATTACTTGTTGCTGATATTTTCAGTATAATTTGAACAGTTAAATATTCAACCATATTACAAACACGAAAAGTTCTCAAAATTAGTTAATATTTTTGCTATTACAAACTGTTACCAACTTCAGAATATTTTGTTTCTGTTATGAGATCGATGATTGATCACACTCTGAAGAAACTTAGAGGCTGACACCAACATTACTCGCTTATACAGTAATATTTACTGTCAATAGCGATTTTCCGAGAAACCTAAGAAGTTCGTATCAAAAGTTAAATTAAATTCGTTGAAGTTTCTTATACATCGGCGGTATATTTCGTGTAATTACAAATTTATTTATCGCGTGTTTGGAATGATTGCAAAGTTCGAAAATTCGCGTATTAAATATTTTATATCTGCTTTGCGAAAAGTGCTCTGGCATTGGCTTGAACTTTAGTCACACGATGGAGATATCCTAATGGTATGCTCGAAATGTGTCAAGTATGTGACTGCAATTTAAAATACGGTAAAAGTGAATCGTTCGAGTACATGAGAAATTGTCATGTCATAATATACAGGGAATGGTAATTTTTACAGTAAAGTATACGAATCATGATTTTTTTCTATATCGAGTTTTCGATGGATCTCTACGTTTTGGAGTCCCCTGAACAGTGACTGATATTAAATAGTATATTATGTAACAAGAGTTTGTAAGAGGTTTTCTCGCCTCAGAGAAAACCATTACTTACAAATGACGCCTGTTGACGGGACGGCTCTCGGGCGCCAGATTTGATGTGTGGTTTACTCCACAAACTTTCGAAACGGCGTCGAAAGTACTCGGGCAGCACAGATGGAGATGAAAAATTCCAGGGATCGTTGGTCACTCAGACACAGGTAATAAGTAACCACAAGTAACGGGCTTTAATCGTTGCTTGTGGTGATAAAGAATTTCTCACTGCTGAAATAAAGGGGGAAGTAAATTAGGGTTCAGTAACTTCAGTAACAGTCAAGGTAACGTTGACACATATATTGAATTTTTAACTATTTACAATAAAAAAAATTTAAGTATTATTTCAACGCCCACCCCCGCTCGTAATTTTAAAACCCTAACTACGGTATCGGCGATAATTTTCAGCGGCGTATATCGGAGCAAAAGCAGCAGATGCTAGTCGAATCAGTAAAGTCAATTGAATGAATTTTCATACCGAATTCTGAATTCCAGTCTCTATGCCCAAGCAGGCTAGCTCCCCACTCGATGTGCGCGAAGCGCGCGCGCTTTCGTTACTCAGGTATAATACGCGAATTTAAATGAAACAAAATTTGATATACAGGGTCTACCCATGAAGTTAAAATAAAATAAAAAATAAAAATTGAAATTTATATCCGGAATAGGCCGAAATATAGTAATGAAAATTGACTTCATTACAAGTTGTAAGTAACCCATTACGCACGAAGTGAAAAAGTTTACGCACGAAGCCGCGCAGCAAAGATATTCGTAGGTAAAGTTGAGAAAATGTTAAAATTCAATAATATTTTGTTACAAAAATTAAAAATATAAATGACATGGCATTTATTTCCATAGCATGCTAAGAAAACGCGTCATATTTTTTGAAAAATTGTATGATGTGTTGCCAACATTTAGGGGCATCACTCTTTTAATCCAAAATGTATCTCGCTAATGCTAAAAGTTTTTATATTTTTTAATTGAATATGCCGCATTCGAGTAATGGTAGTTTTAAAAATAATTTTGTAAATGATCTGTAAATTCATTCGGATCAATTGAAGGTGAACGATATATAGCAGTAATTATAACGCTATTATTTAATGTTAAATTAAGTTCTATTGCATCTGTGTTGTAGATAATTAAAAGTTTGTAGTTGCAAACAAATTTCTATGTTCTGATAACAATTTTTCTATGAAATAGTGTCATATACCTCCAACATGCCTCTATAAATAGTACGACATAGTTCAGTTTACCTCCCAGGTACAGATATCGGTAAATATGTAATTAAGTCTTCATGATATAGGTACATTACCTAACATAGACACAACTATTTAGTTTCTTGAATTAATTTAGTCGAGTGCAATATTTATTTTTTTATATCGTCTTTAAAAAAAACTGTAATGTAGCTTCCATTTTTTTTTTGCATGCGACACGATCATTTGAGTAAAATCCTCCCCGCTACATCAGTATGACACTGTTTATCAATACTTCTAGCATTTATAGATAGGACATATTTCTAAAACTTCAAATTCATTAGGGACAACCTACAAAATAAAACAAAGACATTACAACATATATACAAAATGTTTCATTCGTAAATCCCATACAAATGCGGACTGTTATTGTTTTAAAATTGTTAGTGAGTGGAAGAGAGAAAGACAGATCTCTTATGACCTGCTGGCAACGTTGTAAACAATGTCCATAATATGCTCGCCAGTAGCATAGTTTTAAACTTACCAGTATAAAATACGTAAATATGTAGGTATATTTTTTTTAGTAATATAATTATGATGATTTTTTCATGAAAATTAGACTATGAATTGGACGTTATTTGTCCTTGTCCACCGCGACCTTTTCAGATCTATTGTGGGACTCCTGTTTGTTTTAGAATATGTCGTCTAGCCTGGTCTTTTTTATTAGTCTTAGTCTTCGAGCATATTTCAATGCTCGAAGGTCTTAGTAGCTTTGACAGTGGCTCCCGCATGTAGTTGCATGCAATTGGCTTTTCTTCGCCCAATGTTAGAAACCTCGTTCCAGCCAGGCATTCACATTGGCACAGGACGTGGATTATTGTTTCCGCTTCTTCTTCACAGAACTTGCACAAAGTTGCTTCTTCTGCTGGATTTACGACACTCATGTGCCTTTTGAGGCGACAGTGTCCAGTAAGAAGGCCTACTGTTTTCCTAACGATTTGACGCTTTTGATCCAGTAGGTCTTTCGTGAACTTGGCCGATGGTTCCTTGATGAACTGTTTGGCCTGTCTCAGTCTTGGATAGTTGTTCCACTATTCCTAAGACTCTGTTTGCATCCATTGTTTAATGGATGCCTTGCACAATGACTTAGCAACTCCACAGAAGGGTCCGGGGCCTGTCATGGCCTTATCTGAGCCTCCTCGGGCTAATTTGTCGGCTTTTCGTTTAAATAAAATATATATAATAAAATTGTCATACCTTATATAATATAATAACTTTGATAATTATTTATCTATATCTATGATTAATATTTTAAACTTAATGTACTATTATAGTTTTAATTTTTTCTTATATAATTGGCAAATTATTGCATCTACCTGCCGAAACAAGTTATATTACAACTTACCGCCCCTTTTTTTATGTATAACTATAGGCCATACCCATTATTGGTAAAAATTTTGAAAGTATACAAAAAGGTGTAAAAATTACTTCAAAAAATTCCCATGGTATAATAATAATGAAAGTTCGCTCATAACTGTCGAAATATTTTCTATCATCGTCGTTTTTTTTAATTTCAGCCCTGGCTATCGTGACCACAATGCTTACTGGATCGGGGCCTCGGATAAGACACACGAAGGAGACTTCAAATGGTCCGACGAATTCCCATTTTCTTATACAAGTAAGTTCGCTCAATGTACTTTTATGGTTTTTCAGACCGTTACACTCCGACGACTCGATCGCGGCTCAAACTTAAAAACGACATTTAGAGATATTTCTCGAACACGCCCGCTATAGTCTACCATTCTATCGAAGAATCACTTGCATGCTATCATAGAATTGGTTACAGAGTGTTCCTACCGTAGATAAAATAATAAATAAGAAGGGCGGATTCAGTGATAAATATACAAAACATAATATTGTGAATTATTATGGGAAGAATTATAAAATGGTTGATTTACTTAACAGTTAGAGACCGAATAAGAAACAGAAGAAAAGAAAAGAAGACTCGCTATTATTGATTTACATTTTTTAGCATTCATTATTCTAAAAACAAACTGATATTTACTTTCAAATATTGTATTTAACATAAATATTTTTTTTAAGTAATAAAAAGATGAAAAATATAAACAATACAAATTGTTGTAGTATTAAGAAACTCAAATTAAATAATTTCAACAATTTATAAAATATTTGGTAATAAAATAAAAAAAAAACAAAAAAATAGACAAACAAAATAAAATAATTAGAGTAAACAACTAACGCGCAACCTATTTTGCGAACACTTTACAAAGCGTAGGACTAAAAATAGCTGAAAACCATAGAAATAGTATAAAAAGCCAATTATATAATATTAATACGCAGCACCCTGCAGTAGCCTGCGGCTATTATAGGAAACGTACAGATAGAAAAAGAAGTGAAATGTTACCCATCGCTCTACAGTGTGTACCGTCGTCATAAGTAAAAGTACAAGTAAAAGAAGATAGAATATTCCAGTAATGTCTGGAAATGTCATTACTTGTCAAGAATATTCTAGATGACAGTTCGAGAAGGTTCGAGAAGCTATATAAGTTATATAAGGATGATCCTGACGTCAGTTTTCAGTTTTATGATAGACGTTACACGTTAATGTTATCAGTTGTATAATTATTGTTAAAGTTGAGTTGAAATAAATTGTGATATCAAAAACCAATGTAACAATATAAATAAAGCAATCAGAAATATATTTTTTTAAATCGAATGTGTTATTTTAGGAAAGTCAGTTGTCCAATATAGCGAAAAATATTTTTGTTGAAAAATCCATCAAATGTCATTATCTTTACATGTTGATAGTAGAAACGGCACATATTCAGGCATCTACGACGTTTTTATTCACGCAGAAAGATGTGGCCTTCGACAGTTTTATTTAAGAAACGTCGGTTGTCCGGGACATATGACCTTACTATAATAAACGCGTCAAAAGTGCCCCCACTTTGATAAGAACAAACGGTTAGAAGGTGGCAACGATAGAAGGAGATGGGACAATGTTGATAGTTTGTTTTTTATCTATTTCGTTGATTTCTTAGTAGAAAACAGGTTGTTGAGTTGTAAACGTGCTTTAAATAATATTCATTCGGTTTATTTAAGAAAAAATGAATGATCCAGAAAATCAACAAAAAAAAAAAGAAAAAAAGGAGTGAGAAATGCGGACAGTTACAAATGGGTAAGAATCACGAAAGCTAGACTGGAAGGTGCTTCGTATGTAAACAGTGTTGGTAACGAAGTTCCAGCTCGCCAGTATGGAGGTGATTGCAGGTAATATACGATTTATTTTGTTCTCTAGTTATAATAGAAAAAACTAATAATCTTGTTAAAATTTAATATAAACCTGTGGAATCTAATCACTTATTAGTTTTTTCTATTTGTTCCAGATGTCGTTGGAAATGCACTGAAAAATTCACTGATGATCAAAAGACATCTCTCATCGAAAATTTCTCCAAACTATCGAGTAAAGATGCTCAGGATGTCTACCTGCAAAGCAGAGTCATATTGGAGCCTGTGAAGCGCCAGAGATCAAGAAAAAATGTGTTTGTTCGGTCAGCTGTATTCCTCTATTGTGTAAACGAAAAAAAGGTTTGCAAAAAAGCTTTTATCAGTTTATTCGGCATAACAGAGAAAAGACTCCGACGTCTGACTTCACTGCTGCAGCAGGGGAATATCCTAAAAGATATGAGAGGTCAACAAGACAATCGATATAAGATGCCTGAGTCAGACTGCCAAGAAATCAGGGCGCATATAAATAAATGCCCCACAAAAACTGCACGCTACTCAAACTCGGAGGTCAAGTATCTAAGTGCAGAGCTCACTATAAAAGCAATGTATGAGCTGTTTAAAGAAGAGCACCCAGACTCGAGAGTTTCCTACTTTTATTACCAAAAGTTTTTCAGACAGCACTTTGACTTGAGGTTTGGAAGGCCTCAAAAAGACACCTGTTCAAAATGTGAAGAGATGATAACAAAAAATAACAGTAACGAACTCAACCCACATGCCAAGAGGGTGGCTGAGGCTGAATTAGAGGTACATAAAAGGATATCAAGAAAGTTTTACTCCAAAATGAAATCTATGGAATCTCTGGGTAGGGATGACACTGCAGGGATATCTATAGATTTTATGCAAAATCTTCCCCTTCCTCACATCCCCGTACAAGAGGTGTTCTATTATCGGCAACTCTGGGTTAACGTCTTTAATATTCATAATATCAGCGCTGGTAACTCAATGTATTACGTTTATCATGAAGGCCAAGCCAAAAAAGGTCCATACAAAGTATGTACAATGCTTAATATGTATGTTCAAAACGAGCTACCTCCCCAAGAGCGACACCTTCATCTTTTCTCCGATGCATGTGGTGGCCAGAATCGGAACCACACTTTACTGAGATTCTTGTGTGCATTGGTTCAAACAAAGAGGTTTGAGACTATCAACTACTACACGCCCATCCGTGGTCATTCTTTCATGCCAAATGACAGAAATTTTGGCACCCTGAAGAGACGAATAAAACGGCTTGATAGAGTATACGTTCCCAAGCAATACGTTAAACAAATCGCAAATGCAACCAAGACACCAAAAAAGGCTATGGTAACAATGGTTTCTACAGAGGATATTAAAGATTATAAACAATGGTGGCCACTGCATTACAGGAAGACAACACTATCAGATGAAACAAAAGGGAGACATGTTCCTAAGGAAAACAAAGTTTCATTTTTAATCTCGAAGTATCACCATTTTCGTATGTCTGCTGGTGCCCCAGGAGTAATAAAATGTTGGGGCTTTATCGATGGTCTTGACAATCACACTTTTAGTCTAGGGAAGCATGGAGCTGTTGAATTGCCGAATAAGACAGCTTATAATGGCAAGGTGCCACTTAATGTGAAAAAAAAACGGGACATCGAGAAATTGATCAAGTATATACCTTCTCAATACCTAGATATTTACGAGGATCTACGCAGCTGGCTTACTACCACTGAAGAAGATGAAGGTTAATGATTATACTCTTGAGTTCAACATATAAAATACATGTTTAAAGTAATTTGCACATTTTATTTTTGAAATCCTTCATGTTTATTGTAGAAACGTCATTTGTCCAAAAAAAATTATGGGCAACCCTGTAGTCATATAAAAATGTTTTTCTATTCCAAGCTTACTAAAACATTTCTAAGACATATATGTATGCATCTGATTTGTTTTGAAATTTTTCTTTAAGCTTTTTTGGAAATGATACTGTTTTTTTGAGTTTACCAAAACTAGTGTTTTGTGACAAATGACTTTCCTAAAATAACACATTCAATTATTATTATTTTGTTTTTTTATTGCGGTAGAAGCTATATAACAATTTTTTTAGATTTTTAACCATCATTATTTAAAAAAAAATAAAAACCAATGCATTGCTAATAGGATATTCGAAAAAATCTTTTTGGGAATTTTATTCCTGGTGAAAATAATGATTTTTAAGAAAAAAATCGTCTCCTAAAAAATTTTTTTTATTGACAAAAAACGCATTTGTTAATTAACAATTTTTTTGTTACTAAATATTATTATTAAGGAACCATTTTTTTTAATCACGTTCTTTATTAAACAATTTGTTATAAACAAATGAATTTTTGCGCAATATTTTTTTCTCAAAAACCAATCATAGAAAAAAGCTACATTTTTAATAAATATCTTCGACAGGATGGATAATACACCAGTGAAAAAAAGTATAGGGTGCTTAAAAAATTGTTTTTTGCCACATTCGATAAATTAACTATCAATATATTTATTAAATCACCCTGTAGTCAGTAAATTGGATAATTATACATATGGTAAATACTATCTTTTGTATTATCATTAGACGTGATAAATATAACAATAATTTATTTTTTAGTAAATATTTTAACCTTCTAGAACTAGAACAATAAAAGTTATTATTAAAAACATCTCCTTACTTATTTGTGGCTCATCCTGTAAAGGATAATAATTTTTGACCCCTTTTTATATTCGTAGAATACCAAAAGATGTTACAATAAGATCTGGCACAAAAAAAAATATAATTTATTAGCTTTCTATTGAAATAACCGTTATCAAATAAGTGGTATTTCTTAATTTTAACACCCTGTATCTCAAAAATCAGTCATAGGATTTGAATGGTCCGATGTATAATATTGCTTAAGAGGTTGAGAACTGCAACATATCAAAAATTTATGACATTTAACAGGTCACCACTTTTCTATAATCGGTGTGCAGGGTCTTCTGTATCTAATTTATTTATTTTTCGTTGCTGTTTATGTATTTATATTTAAAATTAATTCACTATAATTTAATGAAATTGGTACAGAATTTAAAATTAGCCGTTTACTTGTTGAAGTAACCTTTAAATATTGGCAAAAAATTATTTTCACAAAGATAGCGAATATTATTATCAAAAGTAAAATTCGTAAAATTTAAATATAGGTAGCTGAACAAGAATAGGTACTTAAAATTAAATCTTTTTTATTCCAGGATTGTAGAATATTTAAGCTATGTTCCAACTTTATATATTTACTTATTTTTATTTATAGAAACAAATGTAATAATATCTATATAATTTTATTAAAATTATTTACCATTAGTTTTAATTTATTTTGAAACCTATTTATCCCCATCCTAACCAAAAAAATTTTAGTCCATTTAACTGACATAAAATCAAATCACTATTACATGATTCCAGTCCAACTAAATTCATTTATACTAATTTACATCATGAAAAAATATACACCTAACAAGTGACGTTTTATCGGTATGAGCAAGGTTAGAAAAGATCAAATTCGAGCATCTCAAATATTTTCTCGGCGCTATCAAACTATTTCAGTTATTCACCCAGAGGTTCCCGATATATCGCGCCAGACAAAGACAGCATTAGAAGAGCCAACACCAACACTAACATGTGTTCTAAATCTAAATACACAATATTACTCCCAAAGTGTGACCATATAAGCAGTTGTGATCTATTTATAAACCCCAAAAAGTTGTGTTAAAATATTATGAGTGTGGCTATAAGCTAACCCACTACTACTAAATGCTGGTTTTTCAGTCGAGAGCTATTTCCAGCTTTTGGCTATAAATATCTTAGTGATGACGATGATCGTCTGTACTCTTTATCCCAATACTTATTAAGTCATATGAAGAAGCTCTGTTATTTTATTTTTTTTTCTGAGCTATTTTTAGATGTTATATATAAATTTATAAATATATAAGTTTTAAGATAGACTTATTTGGTAATGTTATATTTTCGAATTGATATTTTTAGATATTGAACTAGGTGAAAGAATACTTGAAAAATAAAATTTGAATTTTATTGTATATTGTATAAATTATGCCAAAAATTTATTAAAAAAGTTACAATAGGTGTATAATATAACATAACATCATATCCTCTGTCTTAAAATAGTAGAAATAAAGAGGCAGGTGTGTTACTAGATAGGATATTTTATTTACCTGCCCAGTTACAATATATTAAATATAACAAATAAATATATATATCATAAGTAAGGTGTTATTATTTTTAAAAGGATCTTAAAAGTCTGTCTGGCAGTATAACCACGGTCGCGTAAAAACTGCAAAGATGTAAATACAGTACAAACAACATGATAAAAATTAAGCTTATTAGGTATATATAGTGATATAGCTTAGAAGCACTTGCGGTGGACAATTCCAGGGCCGGATTCGTCGTATTCCTGTTTGGAGATCCACATCTGTTGGAAGGTGGACAGGGAAGCCAAGATGGATCCACCGATCCATACGGAGTATTTCCTTTCTGGGGGTGCGATGATCTTGATCTTGATGGTGCTTGGAGCCAAGGCGGTGATTTCTTTTTGCATCCTGTCGGCGATACCAGGGTACATGGTGGTACCTCCGGAAAGTACGGTGTTGGCGTACAAGTCCTTACGGATATCAACGTCACACTTCATGATGGAGTTGTAGACGGTTTCGTGGATACCGCAAGATTCCATACCCAAGAAGGAAGGTTGGAAGAGGGCTTCTGGACAACGGAATCTCTCGTTACCGATGGTGATGACCTGTCCATCGGGAAGTTCGTAGCTCTTTTCCAAAGAGGTTGAAGCGGCAGCGGTGGCCATTTCCTGTTCGAAGTCGAGGGCGACATAGCAAAGTTTCTCCTTGATGTCACGGACGATTTCTCTTTCAGCTGTGGTGGTGAATGAGTAACCTCTTTCGGTCAAGATTTTCATGAGGTAGTCGGTCAAATCACGACCAGCCAAGTCCAAACGGAGGATGGCGTGGGGAAGGGCGTAACCTTCGTAGATTGGTACGGTGTGGGTGACACCATCTCCGGAGTCCAATACGATACCTGTGGTACGACCGGAAGCGTACAGGGAAAGTACGGCTTGGATGGCTACATACATGGCGGGTGTGTTGAAGGTTTCAAACATGATTTGGGTCATCTTTTCTCTGTTTGCCTTGGGGTTGAGTGGAGCTTCTGTCAGGAGGACGGGGTGTTCTTCTGGGGCGACACGGAGTTCGTTGTAGAAGGTGTGATGCCAGATCTTTTCCATATCATCCCAGTTGGTGATGATACCGTGTTCAATGGGGTATTTCAATGTGAGGATACCTCTTTTGCTTTGGGCTTCATCTCCTACGTATGAGTCCTTTTGTCCCATACCGACCATTACTCCCTGATGCCTGGGACGACCGACGATTGAAGGGAAGACGGCCCTTGGGGCGTCATCTCCGGCGAAACCGGCTTTGCACATACCGGATCCATTGTCAACGACAAGAGCCGCAACATCGTCGTCACACATGTTGTCTTTTGTGGTTGGTCACTGCTCACTTCAGACAGATAAATACACAGCTAATAAGCTTGAATGCGACTGAATGCTGCTAAGCCGGAGAGTAGCTTTTATAGCGTCCGCTGGCAGTGGCGTGGTGGCGTTACTCAAATTTTCGCTTACCAAATCTCGGCATTCGTTCTAACGCCGCGCGGTGATATACCGTGGTGGTCGGAAAGTTCATTTAATCAAGTTTCATACAAAATACTTGTCTCGTATTTGAAATATATTAAACATTAATCATTTATTACGTTGGATAATGAAACTTTAATCAAATTCTTTTTTAATTAAATTTTACTTATAAAAATCTAAATTAGTTAGATAAAAAAGCGCGTTATAATACATGTATCGGTCGAAATGGAAAAATATGTAAAATAAAATTATGATTTCAATCAAAATAATTCAATAGCAAATAAACTAAAAGGAAACAACTTAAAGAGAATTTCCAAAGGGCCCAACGAGGCGTAAGTTTAGTTAAAAATCCATTTTTTTATTTTTAAACTAAGAAGAGAGCATTTCCATAAGGAAAATTTACTAAACATCATTTTTGCGGTAAATTTATTTGTATTACTGAGGTTTTCTACCTGATAATTCTTCTAACTGATAATCCTATTGATTTTCAAAATTTTAGATTTAACTTTAGTACTTAAAATATCAATGTTTTCAAAATATAATACATTTCTTATGAATTTTATTTTATGCCCTGCAAGGGTACTGATTTCGCTATATAAAGGCTTCCTTGTCAACTATGAAACTACTATATTGCCATCACTTTTAAATGCCAAATAACTTATTTAAAATTTTATTTGAGTAATTATTATTAGCTAAAGTAAATAATGAAAATTATAATTTTTAAGAAATTAATGTCTATCTTACGCGAATTACATACAGGACGATGAAATAACAATAATTTTTACACGACTTTTAACAAACTCTAGAATAGAAATCGTATTTGATTTTAACATTAAAATTAAAAAGATGAAGGTGAGCCTAAGAGGTAAGGAGCCAATTTTATTTACATGAACAGATTTACAGTGTAAAGGGGCTAAATATTTTTAATTATTAAGGGTTAAAAGGTCTAAATATGTATATATGAGTCAGCTTAAGAGACAAAGGGTTCAAATGTTTTTATTAACAGGCTTAAGGAGTATATGATCAAAATATTTTTATGTAGACCAGCATAAATTGTAAAGAAGCCAAATTTTTTTATTATAGGGAACGGTTAAGGGATAGAATGACAAAATTATTTTTACATGGGAATATTTTTATGCAATTTTTGCATTTTTTTGCATTTTTTTTATTTTTTAATATTCTGCATTTATTGCTGTCTTTTCGTCTTTTAAATTATTTTTGAATTATTTTTAAAAGACTAAGGACCAATTTATATATGGAATAGTTCTTACAAACCAGAGCTAGAAATGTAAAGATTTTCTATGTGGTTTAGTTTAAGTAACTCAAAGGATTTACAAATCTGAAAATTCAACGCATTGTCATCAAATAATTCCAAAGAGAGTGAAAATTTAAAAAACATAATTTTCAAATGAGTTTCGAGTTGAAAAAAAAAATATGCAATTAATAAAAAGACACAAAAAAATTATTTGCATTTCTTTGCAATTATTTGCATACCTTTGCAATTTTTTGCATTTCTTTGCATTTATTTGCATTTTTTTGCATTTATTTGCATTTATTTGCATTTATTTGCATTTATTTGCATTTATTTGCATTTATTTGCATTTATTTGCATTTATTTGCATTTATTTGCATTTATTTGCATTTATTTGCATTTATTTGCATTCCTTTGCATTCCTTTGCATTTATTTTCTTTTTTTTGCATTTCTTTGCATTTCTTTACATTTATTTACACTTTTTTGCACTTCTTTGCATTTCTTTGCATTTCTTTGCATTTCTTTGCATTTCTTTGCATTTCTTTGCATTTCTTTACATTTATTTACACTTTTTTGCACTTCTTTGCATTTCTTTGCATTTCTTTGCATTTCTTTGCATTTCTTTGCATTTCTTTGCATTTCTTTGCATTTCTTTGCATTTCTTTGCATTTCTTTGCATTTCTTTGCATTTCTTTGCATTTCTTTGCATTTCTTTGCATTTCTTTGCATTTCTTTGCATTTCTTTGCATTTCTTTGCATTTCTTTGCATTTCTTTGCATTTCTTTGCATTTCTTTGCATTTCTTTGCATTTCTTTGCATTTCTTTGCATTTCTTTGCATTTCTTTGCATTTCTTTGCATTTCTTTGCATTTCTTTGCATTTCTTTGCATTTCTTTGCATTTCTTTGCATTTCTTTGCATTTCTTTGCATTTCTTTGCATTTCTTTGCATTTCTTTGCATTTCTTTGCATTTCTTTGCATTTCTTTGCATTTCTTTGCATTTCTTTGCATTTCTTTGCATTTCTTTGCATTTCTTTGCATTTCTTTGCATTTCTTTGCATTTCTTTGCATTTCTTTGCATTTCTTTGCATTTCTTTGTATTTCTTTGCATTTCTTTGCATTTCTTTGCATTTCTTTGCATTTCTTTGCATTTCTTTGCATTTCTTTGCATTTCTTTGCATTTCTTTGCATTTCTTTGCATTTCTTTGCATTCCTTTGTATTTCTTTGCATTTCTTTGCATTTTTTGCATTTTTTTGCATTTCTTTGCATTTCTTTGCATTTTTTCACATTTCTTTGCATTTTTCGCAATATTTGTAGTTTTTGCATTTTTGGACATACAGAGGTAAACCATGGGTAAATTAAAAATTGGGCTTAGAACACACGTATTTAAATTTTCGTTTTTTTTTTGGTTTTCTTCTCTTCCTTTTATATTTTAAATACTGTGGTTAAAAAGTAATTTGTAAATAAAATATGTAGATCTTCTGGACGAAAATAAATTGGAACATTTTTTCTTTGAATTTTGATCTCGATGGATTGTTTTCAAATGGTCAAACGTCGGTATATAACTTTAAACGCTTGTAGTTATTAATTTTGCCTTCTTGATGATTTAAAACGTTGAAATTCGTTCCAGAACTATTGTTTTCCTAATTAAATAATAATTTTAAAATTAATTTGGATGTAATTAAAACAAGATTTAATATAGTAATCCTCACCAAATAACAAATTAATTAAATTTAAAGAAATATAAAAAATATACTCCTCCTACCTAAGATTATAATCCTACTCTAAATAAATTTTAGTTATTTTTACAATTTCACAAAATTTTTGCACATAACAAAGGCGATGTAAACAATATATTAGTCTTAGGCTCTAGGGAATCTGAAAGAGACCTGGGAACCTATTCTTGAATCTCAGGTAATTCAAAAAATTAGGTAGAAGAATAAAACAGAAACACAAATTTTATACGTTGCAGATAAAAAAGAAAAACTACTTTTCTAATGTCTCTGATTCAAGAAAATCTACTGGATATCTAGTATTAAAAAAAGGTACATCAAAGTTGATTTGGTCCAACAATTTTATACTGTTTTGCACCAGAAGTTACTGGAACAGTTTTAAACTTTAACTCATTTGACATACTGACGTCTATTAATTAAATAAAAAACAAGAAAATCAAATAAGTTTCCACGTACATCGAAAGTTTTTAGTTTAGTAATAAAAGTTAAGTGGCGAACCTTGTCAAAAGCTTTCGAAAAATGGTGTACACAGTACTTTTATGTGTTTATTAAATAAATAGCACAAGATTAGTAATAATTGAACTTGTCCCAATAAAAAACCGACGTGGATTTATTAAAGATTGAATATTATTTCAATAGTATTCAAGATTTCATCGCTAGTTATATTTTTGAAATAAAAATTATTAAAACAATTATCATTGTTAGTGACAGTGATAGAAAAAATTATATACCAGTTCCAGTTATAAAAAATAAGTTAAATATTGAAGATTTTGGAGCAAGAAGGGGATAAGTTTTGCATAAAAATAAATATTATAGGTTAATTTTTTTAAAAAAATCTTTGTTTGGTGCAAAAATTGGATTAATTTTAACGTCAATATAACGACAAATCATTATGATCTTTATCCCACCAAATTAGTCAAAAGTACTTATAACTTCAGTGTCTTAACATATTCGTGTCATTCTTACACCAAACGATAACTTTTATGATCATGGAATACAAAATATCTCAATTTCGAAAAAATATTACTATTTTTCGATTATAATTAACGGTTTAACGAATTTAAATAAGGTGTTGGGAAAGCCCTTTGGGCGCCGCTCGTGTCTTAAAGTCCGCTACCCGAAATAACGCGTACCATCCATGTATGGCTTGGAGCGAATATCGACGCAGTCGCAAGGCGTCTCCCAAATAAGACAAGTGAGCGTCGTCAGTGGGAGGTGCGTCGGGACGATTTCAGAAACGTGGACGAACGAAAATAGCAACGCGTATCCAAAAATGCATGCCCGTTACCCGTTGCGAAGCACCTCACATTGTTTACCAATTTCTTACATTCGAATTCGGTATTTTCTTTTTTCTTGATGTACTTCAAGCCTTTGCTCGTTGACACATCATTCGATTCTATAACTGTTGTAAAAATCTACTTGGATCATTTTTTACTTCTCGAATTTTTTTATTATCAAAATAATCGTGATACGAAAGGTTTAAATAAATTTAGAATGATAGAATTTAAGATTTTATTCTGGAAAAAGTAAGTATGTAGTTGTAAAAGAGTTAGTTTACTTACAGATTTGAAATAGGTAAGTTTTACATAATAAAACAATAACATTTTTTCCCCATTGCTTCTATTTTCATCCCTATTTCGTGATAGTAACTAATATTTCATTTAAAACAAATTTGGACTGTAAAAAATTTAAAATTAATTTAATTGAAACCCCTAATCTTACTCATATCTAAGTTAAAACCATTATTAAATAGTAATATTAAAAAAATAATGCTTACTAACAAAATAGAATTTTAACAGTGCTACAAAATTTAAAAGTACACAGAAAATTTCTTAAAATAAATTATTAATTTCAGTAATTTTTATTTGAGGAGCAATCATAATACGTACATTCGTATAATG